GATACATCTAGGAGCTCGATATTACAGTCTCAATAGACTTCTATTGCTTGCTGTTGGTTTATGGCCCTATCAGCAATCCAAATTTACTCAATTTCAGTTTATTTTTTTCTCTGCTATTCTGTCAGCAGGTATTATATTTCAGGTAAGACAAGAACATTGTAATATTATTATAAAATCAATTTTTTTACTGTATGACAATTTTTCACTGCTGAATAATTTTATATATAAGTACCGTCTTCTGTCTGTCTGTCTGTCTGACCGCGAACTACTTATTCGTTAATAGACCGATTTTCTTAAAAACAATGCCCAAATTTTTATAATTTTTCGGGGATGGCAATATGCTAATCTGCATCTATAATATCCATTATTTATTATTTATTAAAAAAGAATTCGAAGATGTATTTTAGAGTTTGAGGAGAAAGAATATCAAATTTGGTGCTCCTAATTAATGGGTGAGTTTTTCTTCAAAACGGTGCCAAAATTTTCTAATTTTTTGTTGATGATTTTGTTGATGAAACTGGTACCAAAAGATTACTAATTTTATGGGGATGGCTACTATGAGGTTGAAAGTTAGGTTTCATGGGGTTCTATTGGTGCTCCTAATTAATGGGTGAGTTTGGAGAGAGGAGAATAGATTTTGAACCCGCGCGAAGCGCAGGCGAAAAATCTAGTATTAATCTATATTTTGCAATTTGATTTTTGTATCAAATTAAAATACCTCAAGATGTGCATGCAATTCATTCTTTAACAGCATGTGCCTGTATCCTGTATTAAAACTTTTATGTATAAAATAGTATAAATTAATAGGATAAATAATACAAACAAAATACATAGTGTTTTATTTAAATAAAAAAAATACGTATATAATTGCGTATTGCAAGTTGTATATTTTTCCTTAATTGTAATTTAAAAAACTGTCTTTCTATCAAAAAAACCAAAATAAATTTAACATTATGATATATATGTATATACAATTAAAATTGGAAATTTACTTGTTCATAAAAATTCATTTATCATCCTCTGACGCATTTTGTTGTAATAATATCGTGATATGTGCACAAGCTGGAACAACTTGTTTGACAAAAATATGGTCAAAATATTCTTCGCGCGGATAGGTACTATCATTGTCTGAAGTAATTAAAGTGAGAGAATCTATCATATCGTGGATGAACGGCAACGATAAATTTTTAAAACGGACATTTTGTTGCGCATCCATATAGAGTGTATCAGTTCAGATAGACAGTGTTGAACTGTTGCATATCAATATTTTGATATAATAATAGGCAAAGGCGCATATTATCGTATCGTATCATGAAATTAATACGCAACGATCATATGCTGCAAATATGCATCGTAATGATATGCCGTAAATATACAAAAAAGTGTATATCTGCTTTTACATACCTTTTTCAAGAATTGATATATTGTATTATTATTTAGTAGTATTAATAGTATTAATAACAGATACTTATACGAGAATTTCTGTAAAACTATCTCTATTTGCAGCTGACACCATTAATGGTATTAAAATGTACTTCGGATCTTGTTACCAAAGTGTTGTCTCCCGTATCTTTCTTTACAATGTTTATAATAAACTATAATATATTCCGTCTTAACATTGAAGTTGTAAGTTAATGGCTTACAGAGCATCCGTTAAATAGGATTCTTGTCTGTCAAATATATTTTTATAGCAAAAAGTATTTTAATATTTACAATACGATAGTAATACAGAAAGATAATAAAAAATGGCAGGTGAAAAAGTTATTGATGGAGCTTCAACATATACTTAACGAATTAAGGGATAAAAACGAAATTGCTATTGCAAAAAAATATAGTTGTATCGCTAATCGTTACACGATTGCGTTTACGGGTAAGGCAATGTTTATTGATTTTTGCATGTATAATCATATTTTCGATTTAATATCTAACAATAAATTGTCAAGTGGAGTGAAATCGACTTTAGCATATTATAATTTTCATACATACATATATGTCTTTCATACATTTATATATGATTTATTTGATTGCATGGGCCTATTAAAACATTAATATCAGGTATTTGCATTAAATGGCAAATGTGCTTATAAATTGAATAAAACAAAAAAATAGCTATCAATTTTGCAATAAAATTTGATTTTATTAAAAGATATTTTATGCCGTACACACATGTGTACGGTATACATAAAATAATTTTATAATATTACACCCTACAAATTTAAATGACAATTATTTACGCTTTTTAGGACTTGGAGTTTGTGGAATATTTTTTAGTATTATAGTTCAATTTTGGTCGAATTTAATTAATGTTGATGTACCGATGAATATATCTCACCAACGGTCACGTCATTTATTCATTATAACGGAGTATTTCATCGATCAAGAGAAGTATTTCTATTTGATTTTGTTCCATGTGTACGTAGCTTTTTCCATCGGAACGATTGTAATGATAGCAATAGGTACAATGCTTATTACGTATCTTCAACATACCTGTGGAATGTTTAGAATTGCTAGGTAGGAATATAGACGTAAAAATTACCATATTATATAACGGTCCAATAATAGCTAGGACTGTTATACAAGTTATACACAAAAGTGTTATCTTTATATGTATAACATGATAAAAAAATTTTTGTTAAAAGTTTGTTTTTAGCTGAAGAATTGTGTCATTTAATAAATTGCTATATATATAATTGCGATACAACATTTTTAGCTATCGTATTAAACATGCAATGAGTATCGACATTTTACAAAACATTACGCTAAAAAATAAGATTCTGATGACCAAAGGCATAATTTGTGCGGTCGACATTCATCGGCAAGCTATGAAGTTTGTATTTACGTCGACAATATTTATGCAATACGTTTAATAATATCTTTCTGTTTTGGAAGACTATCTAGGCATTTGTTGTCCGCAGTCGAGATAATGATGTTTTGCTTAATAACATGTGGAGTGGTTTGTGTGAGCATCAACCTATTTCAAGTATGTTTTTGAATTTGTATAATAATGTATAAGAGCTGTCCCGAAGTTATTCATATTAATAATAATACTGGCCAATAAATGTGTCAAGAAATTGATTCCAAAGATTTTTCAGATTGCATCATCTGGAAATAATGTTGAGGAATTTTTTTTTCCGTTTGTTTTTGTATTTGGTACTGTTGTGTATATGTTTATAGCCAACTATATCGGGCAGAATATAACGGATCATAATAATCACGTATTTTCTACTGCGTAAGAAACATATCATGAAATAAAATATGTGAAAGTTTATCTTTTAAGAGTAGTTTCATCAAAATAAAAATTAATTAATATTACTGTAAAATAACTCGGCGTAAACACGGAAGTTAACTAATAGAAATCTGTCTCAATTTGTCATTCATTATGCATATAAAATTTTATAGGTATAATGTGCAGTGGTATAGAGCTCCAATACACATACAGAAGATGATATTGTTCCTGTTACAAAAAGAAACTAAGGAATTTACTTTGAGTGTTGGTAAATTATTTCATGCATCTATAGAATGTTTTGCCACGGTAAGATGATATAAAATATCTCAAAAGAGTATCATATTAGAAATAAATGTTATTAAAGGAAACATTTTTAATTAGTTGTTCAAGTCTTCGGTATCTTACTTTACCGTCATATATTCTACACGATGACGAAGCAAGTATAAATTTAATAACAACATGGTGAGAATATAATTAATGAAAAAGCAATAGTATTCATGCTTAGAAAATAGAAATATTAATTTTTGTTAAAAATGCGCAGATATTTATGTAAAATTGTTAATAAAGATATAAAAGATTAAAATTATACAAATCAAGGTATTATTACATCAAGTTTCTGCGATGCATTGAAATCGTGCATTTTTTTTACTGTACGTTGAATAAAAAAAAACAAAAAAGTATATATATTTATTTTACTTTGCTTCCAAATACGATTTTTATGCGCAATTTTCTATTAAACATTAGCTATTTATACTCTCATATATTTTATTTGGTATCAACGATTACATATAAATATGTTAGAATTATCGATAATAAATATGTGTATATATACCTACTTGTTTGAATCGCTTATAAAGTAGGCAACTCACACTTTCCTTAAAAAAATTGTTTCTTTTAATAAGACTTATCATTCGTTTAAAATAAAATATATTACGCTGGAAGAGATCGCAAACCGCACTTGCACAGTCAACTGTTGCACAAGTTCCTCAACAAAACACTTGCTGATGAAAACATCTGTTACTTTATTGTCACATAAAAATCGATCACGTAACTATACATCCTTTCTAGAATAAAAATGTAAATGGCCAAACATATTGATCTCACGGCGGTGTTTCGTTCACTATGCACTACATATGTCAATAAAATTAGGCAACTCAGCTGAATATTTAATAAAAAAATGAAACAAAACTATAGAATATTCAATCGGCAAACAAAAGTAAGAAAACGCCATTTAGGAAATACAAATATACTCGAATCAAAGATATTTTCAAGAAGGAATTATATGTAACATTTATCAGCAATATATATTGACAACCGTTACGTCGACATTTCAAGTGCAAGTTGTACCATTGCGAAGAAATAACCGTAACTCAAGACAGCACGCACTAGAATGAGGAACGTTACGGTATAACGCGCTGGAAGGGGTGGAAACGCATCTGCGCAGTACGCTGTCACGCAACCCTCTTCACGAAGTAATTCTTTATGGGAAATAAACATCTGTTATTATTATTACGTTGCTGCCATACTCAAATCAATCGATTGTACCACACACACTCCTCTCTTAAAAAAAATGTGTAAATAGCCAGTAAAAATTGTTTTATAAGGTACTTTGATCACACGGTGGTATATCGTCATTATTTGCGTGTATATTAAATTAGACAATTTGTGTTAAATTAAAATAAAAAAAAAAGGAAATAAGAAAACTCAACCGACAAGTAAACAAAAAATAAGCGAATCAATTTCTTTTTCATCAATTGCATTTCAATGCTCAATGAAGAAATGATCCGTATCGACTGTTTGCATATCAGACTCAATCGGCTTCTATTACTTGTAGTTGGTCTATGGCCTTATCAGCAATCTAAATTCGTCCGACTTCAATTAATTTTACTTTTTGGAATTTTGGCAACTTTCATTATATTTCAGGTACATCACATTGTAATTTTTAATTAATAAAATATTAAGTTTCAATATGTAGCAGACAGATAGAAAGACAATAGTGCAATTATAATATTATTGTTGCGATCTTTCTGTTTATAGCAATTTATTTTATAGTTAAAATTATCGAACATTATATATATATATATATATATATATATATATATATATATATAATTTTATATATGTATATATAATAAAAAATATAAAAAGATTTATAATTTCTATATTTATGTAAAAATTACTTTCTGTATGAACTTCTTACATTAAATTAGTATGCGTTAATAAGCAATCGGTGATTTACGCAATTTTCTAATCCAACAAAAAAATATAGTAAAATAAAATTCGTAAAAAAAATATTTTTTGCAGTTTACGGTATTAGTGACTAACAATAAGTGTACATCGGATTTACTTATCAGGGTTTTCTCTTCTGCATTGTTGTACATTATTTTTGCAATTAAATACATTTCATTTAGTATTAATACTGAGATCGTAAGTAAAACGATTTTTATATGTATATTATGTACTTTGTTCATACATATGAGTAAACATTTTCAAGATATAGATTTCAATACAATATAAACATAATGTTTTCCGTGTAATGACATGAAATCTTGTTAAAACGACAGATAAAATGTTTGTTAGAGCAACTGCAGCATATCTATAATGAGCTATCCGACAAGAATGAAATTGGCATAATAGAAAAATACGGTAGTTATGCAAAACGTTACACGGTTGTATTATTATGTAAGACAATTGCTTTTATTACACGCAACTATATTTGCACTAATTAGTGAGTTTATAATAACTTCACTTATCAAGTAAATTGATTTTTAACGTTCTTCAGATCTTTTCGTGACCACGGTACTTTCTTTAAGTTTATATTTATTTTGTCCGTATATTTTCAATATCCTGTTCTCCAAAAACGGGACTCGATCACGTCCTTCGTTGCCGCTTATGACCGAATATTTCGTCGATCAAGAAAAATACTTTTATTTGATTTTATTCCACACGTACATGGCTTTTGTCATAGGCAGTATTGCAATGTTAGCGATAGGAACAATGTTCATAGTTTATCAACAGCATGCGTGTGGAATGTTTCGAATTGCCAGGTAAAAGATTATAAATATAAAAATAAATAAATATATATATATTTTTTATATATATTTATATATATATATATGGAAGATTTGGAAAACTGAAAAATTAAAGAGGCTACATAATTATGATAAAAGAATTGTTTGTAGTTATCGTATGACACGAGCAATGGTACTCGAAACTCATCAAAAGAGAAGCCTGCAGAATGAGAATTTGATTTGTAAGGAAATAATTTGTGCCGTGGATATGCATCGCAAAGCTATGAAGTTGGTATTTATGCAATTTGTAATAATTGCCATAGTACATGTAATGTACGCACATAAAATACTCTTTTTCTATTAAAGATTCTTTGACTATTTCAGATCTAAATTTCAAGTAATGTTCTTCCTTTTGATAGTAGTCGGCGTGATTTGCACAAGTCTCAATTTTTTCAGAGTAAGTACTGACTTCTGTTTCTAAATATTTTTCTTTTTCTTCCTCTTTGAATAAGCTTGAGCCTGTTTTATCAACAAGCCGAGGTCATTACTGATACTGTGAGCATTCATTTTATTTTACCGCGGGTAGACTGTTAACCTTACCCAGAAACCTTCCTTTAACGCCGATTACGAACGTCAAATAGAGAGATTTTCATGATAAGTGAGAGGTGAGGTACACATAGCAGTTGTCAGTTGCTACGTGTGAAAACCAACGACTTAACATCTCTTCCGAAAGACGAAGTCCAGCTTTTTCGCACGGGAATTTTTCGTGCGGGAGTTTGGAATATTAAAATTTCTATAATCAGGTGGACTCAAACCTGGTTCTTTGTGGTTATAAGTCTGGCGTTTTATCACTAGACCACATAGCCACCGTTTTTAAATATAAATAACAGCAGCAGAACTAATTACTATTAGATTTTATGAATAGTTCTAATTAATTGTTAATTTGTTTCATCCTATTAATTTCGTATCTTTTCTTAATCTTAAATGCACTTGTGTTTTAGATTTTTCAAGTGGTATCAGTTAATGAATATGACATTGTGGAACTGTTGTTACCCGTATTATTCATTGTCATCCAAATCATATATATGATAATGACCAACTATTTGGCGCAAGAAATTACGGATTATAATAACGATGTATATGTCGCCGTGTACGGGAGATATTCAGATAACAAGATCACAGACCAGAGACTAATATTACGTAGACTGCTAGATTGCTATAGTTTAGTACAGGTTGCACTGAAGTCATCCGCCATCTTTGAAAGGATCAAACATATAAATTTTTTGTAATGCGTGTGATATTAACTAGTCCTTTCCTTTCAAAATGGCCACCCTTCCTCTACTCTTCCCCTACTCTTCCGCTTGCCTTCACTTGCCTCCTCTTTTGTGGCTTTATTTGCAAAGCCTGTATTAGCGGTTTAGGTAACATATGGAGAGGTTAGCCATAGTGGTGTAAGTCAATTTTTTGACCACTTTTTTTTCTTTTTTTTTAACATATCTGCATGTGTAGACTGCATCTATGAACTTAACTCGATAGATTAAAAAAAGGGACTTACACCACTATGGCTTTAACCCCTCCATATATAGATATCTGTGGATCACACATATCTGTCGGAGTATTGCAATAATAAACATTGTCATTTAATTAAAAAACAAATATAATGTACTAAAAATTATTCTCAATTTTTTCATTTTCTTTTAACCATCAATTCACGTTATTCTACAGGTATAACATTCAATGGTATGCGGCTCCATTGCAAATACAGAAAATGATAGTATTCCTATTGCAAAGGAGTAACAAGGCGTTTAATATAGATATTGCTGGATTGTTTGTCGGATCAATAGAAGGTGCAGCTACGGTAAAAAAAACATATGCATTATTTTATATGTTAAATGTAATATATTTCAGAAAAAGTAAAAAAAAAGTTTACCTATTATTACAGTTGTTGAGCACCGCAATATCATACTTCACTGTTCTTTATTCTACGAGACATTGACGGCAAGATACATTAATTAAAAATATTGTAAAAAATATATAGAGATTATAATTATAATTATAATTATAATTATAAGGAGATGTAGTGTTATCTACTATCTTGAAAGAAGTAGAATTGATAGATTAAATAGATAAAACCAAATTAAGGATTATTAAAGCTAAGAAAATATGACAGTACGTAAAACACAATAATTTATATGTTTATAATAATATATAGAAAAATATATTTTATCGGTAATAGTGGTATATTAAATTTAACAAATATTAAGTCAATAATGAATATATCAAAATGTAAAGCTGACCGTCTTGCTTTCCTAAAGGATCAAAGTGAAACTTACGAGTTCACACACTACGAAACGAATGAATAAATGCGCTACTGAAAACTAGCAAATACGCGTGCGCGATCTTTTGTCAGAGAATTCATAAGTATTTACCTATGAGAAATAAACATCTGTTCTATTATCTTATGTCGCTTGATCACCGACTTATTTACAGATAAAATTGTTAAATTGCGCGTGTTCCCATCTTTTGGTAATATTTTGTTACATTTTCGTTAAATTAGATAATTTACGTTAGAATTTGAGCTAAAGCATAAAAAAAAATGAAGTAATACAATATGCAACTGATAAAAAAAAAAAGCGAACTGGCCTCTCCGGTGTCACACACATCTGCATACTCGTGGAGAAATGATCTGTATCGACTCTTTACATATTAGCCTCAATCGGTTTCTGTTACTCACAGTTGGTCTGTGGCCTTATCAACAGTCTAAACTTGTTCAACTCCAGTTCACATTGCTTTTTAGTGTTTTGGCGACCTATATCCTAGGTCAGGTATGTTAATCATTTTAATTATATAATAACAAGATAAAAAAATATAATACGTTATTTTTAGCAATCTTTTATTTTGCGTTTTAATATATCAAAATCGTTATAAGACCGTCACAATATTGCTTCCTCATAGAGAAAGCTCTGTTTTCGTAAAAAAAAATTTTTTTCTGTTTTTCTGAACGTGTTTATAATGTTCTAAAACGTCGAAAAATTGTAATTTTAAAAAATGTCTGTATGTATGTATGTATGTGTGTGTATGTGTGTGTATGTGTGTATGTGAGTGTGTATGTGTGTGTGTATGTGTGTATGTGCCAAATTTACCGAAATTTTTATAACTCCAGAACTAATCAACCAAATCTTAACGAATTATATATGAAATAGAGGTAAAAAAAACTAAAGAATATAATAGAATTAATAAAAATTGCTAATAATCAATAATCAAAGGGTTCTTTTTTTAAATTTAAATTTGGAATTTTTTAAAAAAAGTCCATGGTTGCTCTAACTTCCGCAAATTTGGAGATATCGATCAATTTCTCATTTTTAAATATATTGATATTGATTTTATAACATGTGTTTTGCTATTAGATACATATAAAAAAATTTAACTTCTAATTTTGCTTAATACATTGCAGTTAAATAGCTTTCTTATGTTAAATTATGATTTATTGTATAACAATTAAAGACTTAGAGCCTTCTTCTGGTTGTATAAAAAATAGATAATAATTTCAGCGTAAAATTATATTAAAAAATTTCTTTGCAGTTTGCAACAATTCTGACATCACAATGTACTCCAGATCTCATCATTAATGTTCTTGCAACTGCATTATGCTACATTACCTTTGCAATTAATTATAGTTTATTTAGTATTAACATTGAAGTCGTAAGTAAAACATACTGGATGACACTTTGGAAATTCGTGAAACTAAATCGATTTCATTTTATGATAAGCAGAAAGCAGAAAATAAATTAAACGCTACAGAAAGAGACCAGTTTTTTGTACCAGCACGTAGTGTAAAAGAAAAGTCATATATAAACTTGTAAAAATTAATATTATAAAAAAGGGTCAACAATTCAGTTCCTATACAGCATAACTCAATAATCAGTTCGAAATGGCTACGGAACTAATACAATAATTGAAGCGTTCTTCAAAACTTTAAAAATTTACATATGCTATCTAACATTAAATAACTGAAACTGTGATTTTGAAGAATCCTGGAGATATTTCTTTCATGAAAGTATCCATGTCGATATTTCCTAAATACACATGTTATATTATTGAGTTATGCAATTAACCAAATTTTTATTTGTTTTATAGATTTTATTTTTACATGTACATAATAAACAAATATTTTTTTCACGCATGCAATATGCAGATAATTATAAAATTTTTCTGTAGTGTAATATGTTTAATTTATTTCATTTTGTTGATTAATTACATAAATATTAGCTATTCAGCTTCAATATTAATTTCTCGAGTGTCGTGCGGTATATATTATATGTATATTGTATTCATATGTGTATTATTTTTCGAAAACAAGTTGTTTTGTATAAAAAGATCAATTCTTCAAAAATATTTCCGAAAAATAGGTCTTTTTATAAAATACAAACAAGAAAATTTTTTAAAAATATGATTAAGAGAAATAATATGCAATATTGACAGATAAAGTGTTTGCTGGAGCAACTGCAGCATAATTGTAACGAGTTAACTGACGAAAATGAAATCAATATCATAAAACAGTATGCTATCTATGCAAAACGTTACACAATTGCGTTTACATGTAAGACAACTGCTTTAGATTTACTTTGAACACGAATTATTATATTTGGAATATTATATTTGGAAAACTAAAAGCGTGGCGAGTTTATAATAAACTTCTTATCGAAATAATTGATACTTAAACATTTTTCAGCGGTTGTTATATTTCTCGCAATTATTTTAGTTTTATACCCAATTTGGTCGCGCGTTTTTTACACCTTACTGTCTATAAATGAAACTCGCGCACGTATTTCGCCGCTGCTTGTGACAGAATACTTTGTCGGTAAAAGATACTTCTACTTGATATTTTTTCATACAAATGCAGCCTTTTTTATTGGGTTAATTGCAACGACAGCGATAGGATCAATGCTTTTAATGTACTTACAACATGCATGTGGAATGTTTCGAATTACCTGGTAAGGGAATAAATACAAAAACAAATATAAAAAATCTATCAAATTGGAAAAATAGAAAGGCCATTTAATGATGCCAAAAGAATCATTTGCAGTTATCGTATCGCACGTACAATGACACCCGAAACTCTACAAAAAAACAACTTGCAAAACGAATATTTGATATACAAGGGATTAATTTGTGCTGTGG